TTCAATTCTTGGGCTTCACGTCTTTATCTCCACAACCTTCTATCATCAATTTTAGCTCCCTACAAGTCTTTATTCTACAACCTGCTCATCATCAACTCAGCTCTCAACATGTATTTATCTTCACAAACTGCTACACCGTCATTGTAACATTATCCATCTTCCATTCCCAATTCTCCACTCAGCTCGAGAAAACATTTTATAGATATGTAGTGCTTTAATTTACTGATTATTTGTATTCTGTATTGTATAACTTGTAAATTGTTCTTTTAGGTACACAATCAAGAACCAGTATATTATGATCTTTGCTTGATAGGATATTATAATATGTTGCATCGACTAATCATACAATGGATTTAAATAGAGAATAAACCCAATTGTATTGGCATCATTATATTTGATTTACATCAATTTGACAATACTATGACTTTCTAAGGTAGAATGACCTGCAGCTTTTGCAAATATAATGTAGCTATATGCACATGAATACATTTTATCAGTTGTCATGGTTTTTCAAACTGCGAAAGATATAGAAATATTATTAATTTAACAATATGGTTTTTTGGATGGTGAAGTAGTATAGTTTTTTTAAGTTTCCACCTAAATCATCAAATTTACTGAATGTCCCTTTACTGGACAGTTGTAAATAAAAGAGTTAATAATAAAAAATCTAAATATTAAGCAATCAGTATCTACTTCTTTCTGTTTGGCTTTGGCTTGCGATAATTTTCTCATGCTTCATATCGTTTGGATGTTTATATTGCATGGTTCATATTGCAAATAATATAAAATGTTTATATATTATTTGATTTAATAAAAATGTTAAATAAAATAAGTACTATTCTTTTTTTTTATTCTGAAATTATTAGTATTTGATCTAAAATAAAATTGTTTAAATATAATTTTTAGTAAAATTATTCATGGGCTAAATGATATTTTGAATTGCTATCATTTACACTAGCTATATTGTTAGCAAAAATAATCTCATGTTTATTATTTACACAAATTTGAAACATGTTGCTTTATTCCATTGAGTAGTGCAAGTACTAAAAATGTATATAATTTGCAAAAGGTGGGTGCAAATTTGATTGTTTTATTTGTCCTAACGCCAGTAGGCTATATTATCACATTCAATCCTAGTTTGAATTTATTTTGTTATTATTATTAACGTCCTAGCCTTTATTTAGTAAAAACTAACTGCAGTCAAATGAGACCCTACTCATGACAATTTGAAACTTGATCTTATAATACTTGAATACCAAATCAAAGCACTCCGTAATGTTGGTTTTAATATGTTCTGGAATAACTATATTTCGTTCTTTCTCAAATATTTGTCATAGAGATTAAATATGATAATAATTTGTTATTGCAAATTCCTAAATCTCGACGTTAAAGGCCAACATCTTTGCAAGATTCGATCCTAGACAATATTTGAATATGATATCTCCATCATATATTATTATATCGTATAGGATCTTCATATTCGGTTCTCAGGTTTAAACTACTCTTTTCGCCGAACTATTCTTGTCGGCGACAACTTCATGTCGTCCGTGAAATGTACAATCAATTTAGGACAGCTAAACACTCGTTCCGACGCCAACTTCATAGCGTCCGTTAAAAGTACGATCAAAGGTCAATGACCTTTTTATGACCGCCAACGTCAAAATTAGCATGTTTTTAACGTCGTGTGGACCATGTTTACTTATCTATGATAAGGACTAATGTTTATTTTGGTTCATTTATCTACGCAAATAACAACAATAAAACTAGCTGTAAGTGGAATTCTGTCTTGAGGCAATTATGGCATCGTGCCTTGAGGCAAATTGCTGGAACTTCCCGCACCGTAACGAAATGATCGAGGAATATTGAATGTTTTCAAATAGATTATTATAAATATAGTAACATTGTCTAATATTTATAAGAATTATATAAACCGAATTGCAGAGTTGAAATTATTTCTAAAGTATATTAGAACTATAGTCAGATTAAAAATAAAATCTGAAATATTTCGATATACAAAATACTACAAAAAAAAAAAAAAAAAAAAAAAAAAAAAAAAATTGGAACAAAATTTTTTTTCCAAAATCAATTATTTTGTTAAGACAAGCAGAAAGTTCTTTGAATCATTTAAATCGGACGCTTAGTTCTCTCAAAAAACTGCCATTTTTTACATATTTAGCTCCGTATCTTCGAAATGGCTGGGCCTGCCTTTGCCAAAACTAATAAACACTTCTCCCAATCATTACTAATTGAATGTTTTTTAGATCATTCAAATCGGATACTCCGTTCGCTCAAAAATTCGATTTCTATTTTTTGCACTCTTTGCTCCGTATCTCCGAAACGGTTGGACCTGCCTTAGCAAAAAACTAATCAGCTCTTTTCCCAATCAATAGGAATCGAATGTTTTTTGAACCATTCAAATCGGTTGATCCGTGCGCCCTAAAACGTGACTGGAAATTTGTATCCACACATACATACACACACACACACACACACACACACACACATCCATTTTTTCTGAGGTATGCCAAAACGTTCAGAAACCTCCAAAACGTCGAGAAATGTAAAAAATTTCAATTCCGATTTTCGGCCCATTACAATAACTTACCCTACGGGAAGTTAATTAATAACTAATATCTTACATGATTTATAACTAAATCTTAAAAATACATTATAATACAAAAAAACAATATTATTTTTATTCACATATTTATTACACATAAATACACCAACACTCTTCTTTTATCTATGGGTAGAAGGCATAGACCTTATACAATTTCAATTGTATAAGGTCTATGGTAGAAGGGGGCAAAACGCATTTAATTTCAGCCCATAGTTGTCAAGCGATATGCGTAAAACATCACTCATTTTCTAGCTCTCAGAATGAAAAAGTCTAGTAAATAATCTAGTACACATTGACTAAGGTTATGTTCATATCTATATTCTTAAATCTCTTTTACCACCTATGGTATGTCAAATGGGCGTAGGGAAAATGTCAAGGAAATGTCAATGTCAAAAAGTACTTGCTTATTTTTAGGTTAATGCCACAAAATACAATGTGTATATTTTGACTTCCTCTCATCTTATGTATTACAAAAATTATAAATCATGTGCCGCTGCGCAAATCATGTGCCGCTGCGCAAAAAATATTTTTATGGCTTGTAGAAATTGAGTTATTTATTTTAAAAGATAAATTGAAATGCTTCATAAAAAACTTATTGTTTGTATTTATTACTATTGTTATTATTAAATATAGAATGCATAGAACCAATAACAGGGACTATTTTTGGAGGAATAGCTGCTATGGCTGGAAGTGCGATATTCTATAACTCTTTTGATATGTTAAAAGATAATACATACTGTAAATATGCAGAATGCTGTAACAGTTATTCTATTCCCTATGATATTAAAAGTATATTTAACAGCATTTTTTGTATTATCTGATTCACCAGATTTATTGAAATAATTTTTTTAGAACTTTATACTTCTCTAACACATCACGTTTATGGGCAGCATCTTGTTCTCGATACTGTTGTACCTGCCATACAAGGCCATATATCATCATCATCTCCAAAGAAACCACTGACATTAAGCTTTCATGGCACTCCTGGAAGTGGTAAAAATTATGTATCTCAATTTATAGCTAATAGTTTGTACAGGTATGGAGAAAAGAGCAAATTTGTGCATAGTTACAATGGCGGATTACATTTTCCTCTGCAAAGTAAAGTTGATGAATATAAGGTATGATACTATACCATTCAAATTGAATTTGTTATAATCTCATACTTTTAAAACATTAAATGATCTATACAATATAATTATGTGATTATTATTGATTTGTTTTATAGGAAAAATTAGTATCTGATATTAAATCAGCTGTGAAAGCATGTGATAAATCTTTATTTATTTTTGATGAAGTTGACAAAATGCCTGTTGGAGTTCTTGATGCCTTGAAACCATTTTTAGATTACAATGCTCATATTGATGGATTGGATTTCCGGTAAGTTGATAATAATTTCACTATATTCACATTCTAAATTTAATTATATTTTAGGAAATCTATTTTTATTTTCTTATCTAACAAAGGAACTAAAGAAATAACATTCCATTTGATTAAGTTATGGAACGACGGTTTGGAAAGAGAGAAAACTAAGCTTTCTCATTTTGAGCCACTTGTTATTAAAGGCGCTTTTGAAGAAGAAGGTGAATACTCTATTAGTTTATTTGGATTATTAAATAGAGCTGGCCTGGTAAACATTTTACTACCTGCAATTAATTTGTTTCCATTTAATTGTAAGTGAGCGTCCGTATTATTCAAATTGCATTAATGTTTTCTTCCTGTATATCTTCTTTGTTTGATTTTAATATATTATTCTGATACAAATTATGTGATGAAGATCAAAAAATATAATCAAGTGTCTTCTTAGATGCTTGTATATGAATCGATAGAAAATTTCAACAAGAATATATATCACATGATTAACAGCAAAAATTAAAAAAAAAAATGATATGATGAAATCAACCAGTTTTCGCCAATAAGTTTTATGAAATAGGTACAACAAAGTTTTTATTCTGTTATTTTCAATTAAATTTTTTTATTAAATAGCATATAGGCATTAGTTTCTAATAATTCCATTTTACTTCACTTGATACACCAGGCGGCCTCTCAATATAAATACTCAATAAAATTGATATTTTTAAAATATTAAAGCAGAATGATATTTATAGGCTCATTTCCTCTTTTTTTAAACTCTTTTTACGGTTTGTCTTAGAAATCATATAAAAAACTATGTGTGATAGCGTTCCCTTGACGATGTGACTGCATTTTTCCCATGCATTGCATTCATTGTTTTTTTTTTAAGTTAAATCAATGCTTTGCACTAAGTCAGAAAAATGTCATTTAAAATTCAGATTAATTATTCGATTACTAAAATGGCTGTGGAAGGAGGGTGAAAATTTAGAGTTGTGTGCATTTTTTAATTTAATATTGTGAACATTGATTAAAAATTTTAAGAAAAATTGATTTCAAAATGAAAGGATGGGGACGGACAACCCTTGATAAAAACTAGTTGGTATTGGTATTTAGCCTTGAGGCAAGTTACATGAACTTCCCGATATGTGTAAATAATCGACTTAATCAATAAAAAATAAATTAATTTATGAGTGGATTTATTACACATTATTGAAAACGAACGAACACGTTAACTCGGAGTATTTTCAAAAAGCAACTTTTCAGAAATCAGCAATTATTATGTTTGAACCAGTTTCCGTAGGATTTTAATGGTTTAGTATGTTTATTAAGACCAAGTACTATATTGTTATACCAAGTAAATGGTCTAATTTTAATTTTAGCTAACGTCAAAAAAACTACTCATTTTCTCAAACTTTGATGAATTTTTAAAATTAAACTACTTGTCGTAAGGCCGTATTATTACAGTAAGTTCTATAAGACCATGATATATATCGCTAAAAAATTCCATAAAAATCGGCTTAAATTTTTTTTTTCAACAGTTAATTACAAGAAAACGGCTCGGTAGATTTTCACTTACAACTAATGAGTACCATTCACAACTAATATCTTTCAAACAGTTCTTGATTTTTTAAAATCGGTTCGGTAGGATGAGCTTAAATGTGGACGAAAAGTTTAACACTTTTTTTCAAATTACAAAGAAAACAGCAGATCATCGCACAAAACTGAGAAACGATAATCCTCATTGAGAAAACATCAAATGGTTTTTAAATTTCTGAAATCGGATCAGGCGTTTTTGAGCAAACGTCGATGAAAGTTCTAATTTTGGCAAATGCCAAAAAGACCATACTAATTTTTGCAAACTTTGACGAATTTTTAAAGCTAAACCAGTTGTCGTAGGACCGTAATATTTTAGTATGATCTATAAGACTATGGTATCTACCGTCAAAAAAATAATCACAAAAATCGTCGAAAAAATTATTTTTTAACACTTTATTACAAGAAAACGGCCCGGCCGATCTTTACCAAAAACTAATCAGCACGATTCCCAATCAATATCTTTCGGACGGTTTTTGAATTTTCATAATCGGTTCAGAATTGCGGGCTAAAACGTGGACGAAAATTTTTTCACTTTTCTGCTATTTATAAAGAAACGTCTTGGCCGATCGTACCACAAAACTGACAAACGATAGTCCTCGTCGAGATACATCGAATGGCTTTTAAATTTTTAAAATCCGCCCAGCCGTTTTCGAGCGAGCAAAAAAATCTGTTCACATACACACACACACATACTTTTTCCAAATTTGATCTCATTCGATTCAGAATGGCTTGAAACGTCGAGAAAACATAAAATTAGCGAATCGGATTTTTTGATGAAAACATAAACTTCTCCTTCGGGAAGTTAATAAATAGTATCTTAAAGTAAAAAGAGTTCCATGTATTTTTCAATTTTGAAATTAAAATATAACATTTTCGAATTGTGTGAAATTTATTTATTTTAAAGATATACATACAATTATTTGAAACGTATTTTAGGATTATGATAAAAAAAAATGAAATTTTTTGATCGAAATAGCTGGTTTGCTCAATTTGCGAACAACCTCTGCGTTAAATTAATTATCTCCAGTTGTGCTGATCGCATCAGAATTCCTTTTTTATTATTATACTTATATTGAAGTCCACTTTATAATAATTTAAAAACAATCTTTTTGCAACTTTCTTAGCAATAACAACCCTTAAATATTTACAAAGATTTTTCAACCTTTCCCCAAATTCAATCGATTGAAAAAAAAAGATAGCAGAGAAAAAAAGGAAAAAACACGTAGCAGAGTAAAAAAAAATGTTTTTTTTTAACCTTTATAAACACTCAAGGGTTTTTATTGTTAAGAAAATTGCATTTTTTTTGAATTGTTATAAAGTTGGCTCCAATATGGTACAATAAAAAAAAATACTGATCCAATCAGCACAACTGGAAATAATTAATTTAACGCAGAGAAACAATATTTTGTTTTCAGTTCAAAACTCGAAACTTTTTGAAGTATGCAAAAATTATATATTTCTAATTGGGTCAATATTTGACCAGGGCTTTTATTTAACCTGGGACCCTTCGGGATAGGGGATACAATTATATGAGTATAAATACCTGTAACATATAAGAATAAGGGAGTCTAGCAAATGTAATAAGAGAAGAAGGTTGTAGAGTGTAGTTCAATATATGTCATAAATTAAATAGTGGTTTTATTCACATCTTATGGTGATGAAATATTTATAATTTACAGTCCACTCAATATCAAATTAATCAAAGTGATCCTCACCACTAATATTGAATACAGCTTATCACCTAATTTGGATATAAATGCACGCGGTGAACAAATAAAATTTAAAATCAGTTAATTAGTTCAGGCGTCCACCGCGAACTAGTATCGTGGCACGAACTTTATTGGCTGAATTATATAAATTCATTAAAATTTGGAAAAATAAGCTTCAATTTTAGGATATTCAAGCACGTGTCTGCGCACTATAATTAATATAATTACAGATAGTTTAAATGTGATTGAGAAATATCAATTGGAAATCGCAATGTTTGGATTTAAGTGAAAGCGAAAACTTTATTTTCGAAATAAACAGTTGAAAATTTTATTGTAAGTACCTAAATCTCAATTTCGGCTGATTAAATGAATTATTACGAATTTCGGGAAGTTGTCTTAAGGCAAAATGCCAGTTTCAACTAGATAGTCTTTTTATTTAAATTCGAAAATTTTGATTACTCAGAAATTTCAAGAAATTACATTTTTAGTGGCGATAATGTTTCTATATTATTTATAGTTATAATAAATAAATATATTTCAAGAGCAAACTTCAAGACGGAGTACAAAAATCTAGACTAACTCAAGCAAGGATTTACTCAAAGTTTTAGTTTTCTATTTGCTTTTTTGAATTCATGAGTCTATAAATAAACTAATGTTTGTGAAGATCTTTATTTTAACTAATTAATGTTAATTGTTTTTGAAAATATAATAAAATTGAACAATTTTCGAATCTATCAAAATATTGACAATATTTAAAATTTTTTAGAATCTGATACATTTTATTATTGATATTTTTTCTAAACAAAAGTTTTAAATTTTTAAAAATATATTTGTTCGTTTATAATGCGCATTCATTCGATGTTGAGTTCGCAGAGAAATGGGCATAAAATTATATTTTGAGGATTATAAATAAAAGCTATTTGTGTATATTTTACTACTCTAAATGATGATTCCTTTATGGATGCGACACTTAATGACAAAATATTGTTTTTTTTTAAATATGGATTTCCATAGTTTTACTGGCCACCCTTCTAACGATAAGTGGTAATGGGTCTACTTTCAGTGAGCTCAACTTAATATAAATTATTGAAATTGTTAAATTAGTGGATCACATCATTGTGTTGCCTTAATAAAATGGCTATAGATATTTGATGGGTATTTGAATGAAGGCATTCAACAAATTCACACAACTTTATAAAATTAAGTTATCATATTAGCCAAACCTTGCAAATGCGCAATTTTGTAGAATTGAAATATGATTTTATTGTTTGTTAATATTATATTTGTTTTTGATCATATGCATTGTAATATATAATAAAAGTAGTAAAAACATAATTTAAATTCTAATTACAATTTCAGGGGGTTTTAAATATTCTTCAAATATTAAAAGTGGACTCATAGATCATTACATACCTTTTTTCCCCTTGGAAAGAAGGCATGTGGAAATGTGCATCAAGGATGAGTTTTTGAATCTGGGAATCATTTCTCCTCAGGAAGAATATATTGAGTGAGTTTTTGAAATAATTTCACAGTATTTCATGTTGGAAAGAAATGTTATATAAAACTATTAATAATTTAGGGAGGTATTGAGTTTTGTAACATATGGGCCAGATGATAAACCTATCTTCTCAAAAACTGGCTGTAAGCGAATAAGTCAAAAAGTAGCAGCCATAGTAACAAGAGAAAAAATGAATAAGGATTAAATGAAAAATAAGGAATCATAGATTATAATGATGGTTGGAAATATGGAATAATAATGCCTATATGTAATAACTAATAAATAATATTAATTTTTCTAATTTATATCGTTGTTTATATTTAATAATTAAAAAATACTAATGTGGACTAAAAAGTGCCAAAATCATATAAACAACTCTATTTTATTACCAATACCTTGTTTTAATTATAACAATGTTCATACAGTCAGCTAACAGCTATTCAACAAGCACCAGTAAAATCTTTTTGGAAAAAAGCTGTTTTTTTCACAAAATGCTAGTTCTCAACATCTCAAAAGAAAAGTGTTATCATTTATAGAAAATGAGTTGGGTGCCTTAAAGCTGTTTAAGTTATTTTTAAATAATATATTGAATTTACTCTTTATACTTTACAAATAGAAGAAAAATCTTCAAAATCAATAAAACTGTTTGCTTGTACAAATCATTAATTACGTATGACATGATTTATTTTAATATATAATTAACATTAATGATATTTAATGTTTTTTTTTTGATTCACCTTGTTTTGATGCCTTTCTTTTAAGGTTTTGAGCATGTTTATCAGGCGTTAGGATTTTTATATGTGGTGTTATCTTTGAAGAAGATACTGTAGGGCTACTACTAGAAGATTTAGTGGAAGATTCACTTTTTGATTTCGAACTGCTTCCACTGTATAATTTGGTATATCCTGAACTGGAAGCAGGTGATTTTGATGATTCCTTAGATCTGTCTTTATAGGATTTTTGTACAGAAGTAGAAGTTTCAATCTTAAAATAAAAATAGAAATTAAATAATTTATTTAAAAAAAGTGAAGTATCATTTAAAATCAATAAATTACTTTGCACTCTGAACAACTCCAACAAATATCAGGATCATTTACATCATTTTCGGGTATGTGCGGTCTGTGACATTCTTGATGATAAAGTGAATGACATTCTGAACACTCCACAAGTCTATTGCCTGCAGTTACATCCATCCCCCTAAAATCATATATGTGATTAAAATGTAATAAAAATATTATAAAGGCAAAAGTAAAAGCCAAGTCTCTTTGAAAAGAAGCACAACAAATTAAAAAAACAAGATTGAGTAACAAATATCTCAAAACTAAATAATGTTGAAAGCAAAAATAAAATGTGGACGAGCATTGATAAATATCTGAAATCATTTATTTATTACATACTATCACTGAAAAAGTAAACCAATAAATATATCAAATAAATACAAGAATATTTATATAAAAAATACATTTTATACATAAGGTATATACTGGTGTACATAAGCATTGAAAAATGTACATAATCACCTTTCAAAATATCGAGTTAAAAATTTATTGCTTCAAATATCTTGGAACATAAAAAAACATACTTAAAATGACAATTTTCATATGAAATACCTGCAGATTATACAAGTGAGATCATCCTGCAGCAAATTTTTTAGTCCCTCGACCATTGAATCATCATGTGATGTTATTATATCTGTATCACAGGCCGTAATTAAGCCACAAACTTTTTGCTCTTCATCTAAAATCTTTAAGTTAAAATAGTAAAAAATCTTTGTGTGTTTATTTCAAATATAAATTGTTACTGATGCACCCACTTCTTTCTTTAAGGCATTAGTAAGGGTTTTGTGAGAACCATACTTTTGTTTTATAGCTTCATCAAGGTATAATCTGATTAATTCAGCAGAATCTGCACTATTTGATTGTAGTAAGCGACAAGCTCTTAATGCACATTCCGTTTCTCCATTAGACATAATGATAATGTTTTGGAAAAAGACTGAAATTTTTAATCAAATAAATAATTAATATAAGTAACCATTTTTTTAAAAATTGATGAATGTTTCGAGTAATATCATTCATTATAAATTGTATGTATGATGTAAGTATTTTTCTACATTTATTTTATATAACCCTACTTTTTGAAAACTAAATTAAATTACTTGTTTTCAATTAATTTCATTCTATTGTTAATTATAAATTTTCCATTATCATCACAGCCGTTTTGAAGGTTTTTAATTTTTAAAGTTCATATATATTTTATTCAAAATTGTTTACCTATTTGAAATTAGACAGTTCGACGTTATTCATATATTATTCAAGAAAATACTAAAGGTGCGTTCACGAACATGAACAAGCAAGAATCAAGACTGTGCGTACCAGAACGGGGCGACACATGAAACAAAATTGTTCGTTCATGTTTGAACCATAGACCTTATACAATACAAATGAAATTGTATTGTGTGGCGGCTACAGGTGCGTCCACACCTAATGAACGAACACGAACGAACATGTCGAGCAAGAAAATACAAAGAAGAACGAACAGGAGCACGAACGAACGCAACAAAGCAGTGGAGGCTTGAATTTTTTTGTTCGAGGATGTACCGTGAAACGTCAGATTTATTATTTAAAGTGGCGGGAAAGAGCAAAATTATTTAAAGTCATCAAATTTACAAGATTTGTCAATAACAGCAATATCTTATAATAAACACAACATAAACTAATGCAGGGCTGCACATTTTAACATCAAAAAAGAAAAATGTTTGTCTACATTCGTGGTAGCGTACACACTGCACATACGAGTTCAAACATGAACGACAATTCCCTTTGATGTACCGACAAGTTGCGGAACATTGCTCGCCATGTTTGTTTATGTTCATTCGTGATCGTTGTGGCGTCCACACTATGCTGTTGCCGTTCGTTCTGGTACGTTCATTTATGTTCGTTCATGTTCGTTCGTTAGGTGTGGGCGCACCTTACCCCGAATATAAACAAACATCTTTCTTTTTTGATGATAAAATGTGCAGTCCTGCATTAGTTTATGTTGTGCTTATTACAAGATATTGCTGTTATGGACAACATTTGTGAATTTGATCACTTCAAATAATTTTTCTCTTTCCACTCGGGAGTCGACTGCTCGAAGTTGCGCTGCGCTCGATAAATTAAGGTGCGTCCACACCTAACGAACGAACACAAACGAACAAGATGAATAATAATAATAATAAGCGCAGATTAAAAATTTCAAACAAAAGCGAACCACGCGCAAATCAAACATATCAAACGTCTAGTTCGTTTGCGCTCGTTCGCTAGGTGTGGCGGCACCTTTATATATGACTGCATACTGCACACTGCATCATACAAATAAGCATTGCGCTAACTGTCACACTTTGAATGTGTAACTGTATACATGATTGTGAAGTAATTATTTTATAAATCTTCTGATGTACAGTGACATTTTGCGCATTGACAATATATCATTTGAATTTGTATTTTGAAAATTAAGAGTTGACTTGAGATTTTTGTTGCTTTTATCAAAATATCTTAACTAACCTACCTTTCTAGTATTCGAACAGTGATTATAAGTAATAAATATAATAATAAGTTATAAGTAATTGGTTTATTTTTTTAAGTTTGCAAAATGTCTGCCATAATCCTTCTTCATTGGAACAGAGAACAGCAGATGTTTATTGGAAAAATGTTCCTTCGAAGAACTTGGATTAAATCCTAAAGTTCTTGAAGGTTTACATGCATGTGGTTTTGAAGTACCTTCTCCTATCCAGTGCAAAGCTATACCTATTGGGCTTTGTGGTTTTGGTAAATAATGTTTATATTTGACTAATATTATTTTCTATTAAATATATTACCTAGAAAAATTTTAATAGAATTGCTTATGTCGTCTCACATTTGTTTCAACTATTAGAACTTTTCAAGTACTGGACTAACTTAGATATGAAATAATTTGCAACTTTAAAAAAAAAACATATTTTTTCTATATCATTTTGAAAAAAAAAGATATATAGGTAAGGACATATTGAGATGCTAATTTGTAATAAATAAATTGATTGGACTTTTTTGGGACATCAGTATTTGACCAATAAGCTCAAAGGGAACAAGTTGTACATCTCGCTGGACTCAGAATGGGAAAAGAGCTTTATGCAGTAAACTTCTGTTTACTGATAGATCTGTTAGTCCGTATTTTGAAGTAGAGTAGAAGCTACAAGTCAATCCTCATGGAGAGGTTACAATTTTCTTTTTTCTTGGCCTTGACTGAACTACCCTGTGGTTGATGTGTAATAGTACTAATCCATTATGTCTATTATGAATAATTAAAATTTTACCATACATTAGATTACTGCAATTAAATTGATCCAAATCATTAGTACTGGCATAAGTTTATCAATTTTGATGGATTACAAATAACTCCTCAATAATTACAAATAAATACTTAAAAAACATGAGCTAAGAACCCCCAAAATAAACTTTGTAGGCTTTGACAATGATGCTCAACATCTGATTGGTTTGCTATTATGGCTTTTGTTATGTTATACAGTATAGGAAATTAAAAATTTTCAATTAAGGCCACTGTGCCTTTTGACCATATATGTCATATTGTCCGTAGTTTATTTGGTGAGTTAAAACCATGATTGAAGTAATGCAAATTGAATACATCTTGCATTCTATATATAAATGGAAATTCTTGTATTTGCAAAAAAAAGTTGCTGAATGAATTTACCTCTTTTTATGCAATAGCAAAACATTATCCTTAGGCATACAACAGCGCAGATGTATAACTCTTATATGTGATATATTTGAATTACATATCACAATTAACAATTATGATCATTCAAGTGTGAAAGACACCTATTCAGATTACTTTCTTCGAACAGATTTAGTTGTACAAGCAAAATCTGGTACAGGAAAAACTTTGGTGTTTGGATGCATATGCTTGGAAACAGTTAAAACTGAAGTCGACGAACTGCAAGCTTTGATTTTATCACCTACGAGGGAGATTGCTGTTCAAACTCAACAATTGTTGCAAGATATTGGAGTGAAAATAAAAAGTATGTTTTAGATATATAATCAAACACTGAAAATGGCTTAGTTATTAGATTCTCTTTGCGCCCAACATTGATGAACTATAAGAGATTGTCAAATTTTCACATTTACACTCAGTTTTTTTTGTAGTGTTTATTGAATACAAATCTGTGTTTTATAATTTTTTTATAATGTATATTATTAAACGATATAAAAACAATACAATTCAAAAATGGATCCCATTTGGTTTATATGGTTATTCAAAATTGGGTGTTTGCTATATGTTGATTATATTTAACTGTTTCTTATTAATTATTTTAGTTTATTAACATTCTTATGCCAAAGTATAAAATTTATAAAGCTGGTTGATTTGTCTGAATGCAAATTACATTTTGAATATAATATGCCTTATGGTGCAGAAATTTTATGACTGCTGCATGCAGATCTCAATGTGCTTTTATATAAAAATAAATTTATTTTAACGATCTAGAGGCTCCTTTTCATATTATTGAAATGCCTAATTACTATAAATGCTGAACTATGTGATTAGAACTTTGGAAAAACATATACTTTTATATAATTGTAAAATGTGTAAGAGGTATTGTTATTTTTCAGATTTGAAAACTGAAGCTTTCATTGGAGGTTTACCTATGAGCACTGATCGAAATAAATTAAAAGGTTGCCATATTGCAGTTGGAGCTCCTGGTAGAGTAAAACATTTGCTAGTGAATAGGGTGCTAAATCCCAATAATATAAAACTACTGATCTTGGATGAAGCCGATGTTTTAATAAACGAAACATTTATAGATGATATAAAATATATTTACTCCTGTTTACCAAGCAAGAAGCAAATAATTGCATCAAGTGCAACATATTCTTCAGAGTTTGCAAAATTTACTAAAGTTTTTATGAAACAACCTTCCACAATTTCACCACAATATGATGTGCCCGTTCTTCTCGGAGTGAAGCAATTTATTACGACGGTTCATCCTGCAGCTAATGACCCTCTTAATATTGCTGAATTAATTCGCATACTAAGTCAAATATCTTTCAAGCAATGCGTAGTGTTTTCAAATACAAAATCTAATGCAGAACAGGTATATGTTTCTTTGATAAAACATAACTGGCCCTGCGAATATTTATCTTCTGATCATAGCCAAGTGACACGTTTAGCAATTTTAAGTAAACTTAAATCATTTCAATGTCGAATTCTTGTTACAACAGATTTAACAGCTCGTGGAGTTGATGTAGAAAATGTGAATTTAGTTATAAATTTAGAAGTTCCTTTATCACATGCAACCTACTTGCACAGAATTGGCAGAGCAGGTCGTTATGGTACTTATGGAGCCGCAATTACTTTTATTAGTGACAGTAAAGAACTATTTAAGTTCAAAAACGTCCTGTATAAAATAGGTGGTGATAATATTTCTGTAGATATTTTACCACATGATAAAATACCCAACATATGGGATAAAAAAGAAAATTTTGAGTTTGGTAAAGTATGGGGAGATGTTTTTTCAGAATCTTCAGAAAATCAGAATCCAAATATTGATCGGCAACAATATGAAAGGCCCATTGAAGTAATACAAAATGTAAATGAATATCAAAAAGATAAAAAATCAGATATTCATGAGATTAAGCAAAATATAAGCCCTAACAATAAAAAATTAAACGATGGTGTCAAATACAATGAAAAAAATATGAAAAATCATTTACCAGGAAATGAAACATTTGTTATTCCTAATTTGACAGAATTACAGAATGATATGGATATATTTATGAAAACTAACTACAGTGAAAAGGATATCATAGAAAATAATATAATTAATATGGATGAGAGTTCTGAAATATACAATAGATTAATAAATGATCCTGATGGAAAAAAATGCATCGAGAATATAGATGCATTACTCACTGATTATGAATATAAGACTACAAATAATTCTACTAATAATAGTAAATCTTCCACTCCGAACAAATCTAGTTGTGAAAATAAATATGTGGAGCAAAATTTGGACTTTATAACAAAATTACGTAAAGCTACTTCTGATTTAAAGTTTGATACAGATGATTCAAACGATGAAGATCATGTGAATATTTTAAGAAAGCATACAACTGAAGAAACAAAATGTATACCAATTAAGCCAGAAAAAATTAATAAAAAGAAACTTGATGATGATAGAGCATTTTTAGAAATGATAAAAAGGAATGCTTCTAAAGAAATAATTAAATATGACGATAGCAAAACTTTGCGCCAGGGCAATGATACTTCTGAAATTAATGATGACTATGCAGCAAACAAGTTTAGGAAAGCAGTACAAAATGTAGATAGTGACACTTTTAAATGTAAAGAAAACAATGAAGTTGATAATGGCGGTTTAAATGCTGGCAATAATAAATACAATGAAAAAAATATGAAAAAGCATTTACCAGGAAATGAAACATTTGTTATTCCAAATTTGACTGAATTACAGAATGATATGGATATATTTATGAAATCTAACTACAGTGAAAAGGATGTTATAGAAAATAATATCAACATGCATGAGAGTTGTGAAATACACAATAGATTAATAAATGATCCTGATGGAAAAAAATGCATCGAGAATAAAGATGCATCACTTACTGATTATGATGATAAGACTGCAAATAATTCTACTATCAAAAGTAACTCTTCAACTCAGGACAAATCTAGTTGTGAAAATAAAAATGTGGAACAAAATTCGGATTTTATAACTAAGTTACGTGAAGCTACTTCTGATTTAAAGTTTAATACTGATGATTCAAATGATGAAGATCATGTGAATATTTTAAGAAAGCATAAAAAAAAAGAAACAAAAGTTATACCAATTAAGCCAGAAAAAATTAATAAAAAGAAACTTGATGATGACAAAGCATTTTTAGAAATGATAAAAAGGAATGCTTCTAGAGAAATAATTAAATATGACGATAGCAAAACTTTGCGCCAGGGCAATGATACTTCTGAAATTAATGATGATTATGCAGCAAACAAGTTTAGGAAAGCAGTACAAAATGTAGATAGTGACACTTTTAAATGTAAAGAAAACAATGAAGTTGATAATCGCGATTTAAATGCTGACAATAATGAAACTCCCATGAAAATAAATGATAAATATGAAAACAGAAAAAAACTGCAAGCTGTACGTAAATATGGATATGATGGAGTTAAAGAAAGTACTTTAGAACAAGCAGGGTTACATATAGTACCAGATATGTTAAATGCTGACAATAATGAAACTCCAAAGAAAAAAAGCGATAAATATGAAAACAGGAAAAATCTACAAGATGTGCATAAATGTGTATATGATGGGGCTAACAGAAGTACTTCAGAACAAGCAGGATTAAATGCAGCACCAGATTTGTCTAAAACCATTGATTCATCATTAGACTCTGCAGAAAGTAACATGTTTACAACTTTGGCCACTGATGTAGTTAATGAATCTAACAAAATAAGTTATTTAGAAACTAATGAAGAAATTTTGAACAACCTTGAAACAAATATAATATCAAGTATGTCATCTTTAAATATGAATGACGATGCAAATCAAACCTATCCTTCATTACAAGATCAAATGCATAAAGACATTAACAAGCTTGAAAAAATTTCTATACTAAATTCTATGGAAAATGAAAACGTATTGAAACAACAAGCTGAGGATCGTAGTATGTTAATCAAACATACTAAAAATCAATCGTTGAATTCTAGCAAAATTTCTTCATCAAAAATACTCAAACCTAAAGACATTGAAAGTAAGGATCATATAGAGAAATTAAATTGTTACAATGAAGAAGCAGAAACTGTGCATGAATATCAAAAGTGGAATCATTTATGGATGCAGCAATTGTGGCAAATTAATAATTTTGTCTCTCAAAGCAATTATAGCAGAAACATGTATTTAAATTTATACCATAAGTGATACATTAAATGAAATTTTGTTCACTTGAATTGAATAAATTATCTTTTTTGTGATAATTGTCTGTTGAGCATAACTGAAAAATATTTTTTTTGGTTATTATTAGATTACTAACATTAGAATCTAGACCTACACTGCAAAAGAACACATGATTATTTTTTAAACTCATGATGTGCATGGAAGTTGTAATTATATTTTTTTTATGATGCATAATATATAGAGAGTTAAATTTTTACCTTTCTACTACAAACCCAATCATATTATTTTTGCTCTCCATATTGTTTAATTGTGCATCAATCGTAGTTGCAACATTTATAACAATAAATTCAATAAGATTTTGGAGAAATAAAAAATTAAAATAAATAAAATTTCTGACTAAATTTCCAAACTGTCTACTAACCAATTATTACAGCAAATATATTTATGGGCCATGCATTATACTCTCATTCAGTGACAGACAAATGGAAAATATACCAGAAATTTCCATCAATATTTCATTAACAACACATCAACCAATTTTTATGACAATTCAATATAATATCATGCAAAAATATTATACACATGTTGACAAACTAGAGCTGTTCCACATTCATCTCTGTTCTGAGCAAGGCTTATATTGATGCTGCATTCTGCATGGTATACATTTGCAAGTACGTCCATAAGAAATATGTCAAAGGCAGTATAAATGTCATATTCAGAAAAGACTAATGTGAATAAAGCATTTATATATTGCTTTTTAAATTTGTCAGAACATCAGCTCTAATATACAAAGCATATTTGCACTTAGAATTGATTCTAGACACATAAATGTTTGAAGGAAGCGTCCATTCTCTTAAGGATTTTGTGAGATACTGGTAAATTTATTCATTTTTAAATTGTGAAATTATGAATTGGTTGGTATTAATAAACAATAAGTTTTGTTTAAACAATCGAGTTTTGATAAAATTTATAAGTTTAAACTATATACAAAACTATAGTTTTCGAATATTTGACTATTCCATGATTGTTGTAATCATAGATAAATAAACATATCTTCATAATTGTGTTCACCGTTGCTGAATTGCAAATTTGAATTATTTGTTTAAAGTATATTAGAACTTTAGTCAGAATTAAAATTAAAATCTGAAATATTTTCGGTACACAAAAAATTTTTTTTTGAAAAAAATAAAAATTGTTAAAAAAAAAAATTAAAATTTAAAGAGAAGTTAAAAATTGCATAATTAATGTCTTTGATGCCAATAAGTTTGGATAGCATTAACCGCAATATATGATTACGAGTAATCATATATAACATAAATATCTTTATCATACTTGCGAATTGATGGAGTATGCTGTCATAATTAAATTATTATTATTCTATATTTCAAAATATACCGGTTTCTTTCAATAATTTGCATATACGTAGTTATTGCATCGCATGTTATTCGTAGAAATTACATTGAAAAAATTTCAAACTTTTTTTTTTATTTTTGTAATATAGTATACGAGCTTTTTTCTTATATCCTAAATTCCGTTTGAAAATCTAAAATTCCGATTTCTAAAATTTAAATGCCTCTTAATGCAACTTTATGTAAAAGCAATACATATGTAATACAATGTATCGCGTTGATTGGATTTCTACAACCACCCATTGAACCGTTTCTTTAGAATTAGCAGAAAAGTGTAAAAAAAATTCTCCACACTTCAACCAAAAATTCTAAAAGAATTTTAATAAATCTTTTATAAATATTCGAAAGATATTAGTTAGGAATCGAACTCGTTGGCTGGGGCGTTTCTTCGTAATTAATCATTGAATTTCTTTTAGCGATTTTGATGAAATGTTCATGTTGATACAGTTCTTAAAATATTATTGCCTACAATAAGTGGTTAAATTATAAAAAAATAAAAAATATCCAGGTGAAGAAAAATGGCGCCGCATTAGTGACATGTGCCAAAATTTGACCTCACCGATCGACGCTTTTATCAGTACCGACTGAACAGATTTTTTTAAGAAACGTTTTTTTTAATTATCAGAAAAATTTATCAGAAGCTTTTTTCTAAATAGGAGAAAAGTGAAAAATTTCCATCCACGTTTTAGCCCGCAATTTTGAATCGGTTTTGAAAATTCAAAAACTTTTGTTAAAGATCGGCCGGGAAGTTTTCTTGTAATAAAGCGTTAAAAAAATCTCGACAATTTTTATGAAACTTTTCTCTTATCTTATAGAAATACTAAAATATGACGGCGTATATTAAGCCGTTTAATTAAAAACTTGGACAAAGGTCGGTCGAGCCCTTTCTTCGCAATTAACTGTTGAATTTTTTTTGATGAAACTTTTTATGTTGATAGATATCATGATCCCAAAGAACATACTAAAGTATTGCAGCCCTACGACAAGTCGTTTGATTTAAAAAAATCATCAGAGTTTGAAGAAATATGATATGTAGTTAAAATTTGACAAAGTAGCTTTTGTAATGTGATAAGTCAAATTTTGAATTTCACAAATTTAAAAGCCGTTGGAATAGACTCGATAAGGAGGAGCTGCAATTAGGTTTGAGAAGATCGGCCTTTGAAAATTATGAGCTAGTGTTTGGTGATACTATGATCATTTTCGGTTATTGTAGTTAGTTTTTATTAAATTTGTTTATTTATACTTTAGATTCGTAAACGCAAGTAACATTTCTAGGACAACATTAAACAATAATGACACAATTGGTCAAAGTTTAAGTATTAAGACTTTTTGTTAGACTATGAATTTAAAATTTTCAAAATTGGTCTCCTTTTTTTCAAAAAAATGTGCTAAAGTGTGCTGACAAGTTTTTCAAAAAATTGGTGCATTTAATCAAGACTTGAAAATGGTAAAATACTTGATAGTTCCATAATAAAAAAAAATCGAGTAAATAACTAAATCTTAAAATAACTTGATTTTTGTTAGGGCATTTTACTCACAATCCGTTCAAAAGTTTGTTGTACGCGCAAGCTCTAATTTGCGAGACAGAAACATTTAAACTGAATGCGAGCGAAAATGCGTATAGCCGTTATATTATTATTTTTAGATTTTTAGTTTTTTCATTCAATTTTTCTATTATAACTACTCACTCTTAAGTATCATAACGAATTACTAAACCATACAGGTCACTATAGTTTTATCACATGACTTTAAACTAAGTTGACCAAACGTCCCGGTTTGCCCGGGACAGCTCCGGATTTCCATCTTGTGTCCCTGCAATGCTCGAAAAGCAATATTTATCTCTGATTGTCGGATTGTTTAAAAGCATTCGATTCCAATTGATAGGGAAATGTGCCGATTAGTCCAAAGGTTGGTCCAACCGTTTTTGAGTTACGGAGTGAACTCGACGAACTTGAAGAGTGTAGAAAATAGAATTCGAGTTTTTGAGACAACGAAGCATCGGATTTGAATGATTCAAAAACCATTCAATTCGTAATGATGAGGAAAAGTAGTGATTAGTTTTTGGCAAAGACAGTTTTCGGTGATTAGTTTTTGGCTGTTTCGGCGTTACGAAGCTAAATGTGCAGAAAGTGGCTGTGTTCGAAGGAAATAATCATCCAATTTGAAATATTTAAAGAGCTCTCTGCTTGTGTTGATAAAACGATTTTTGATGGAAAAAAAATCTCATTTTTTTTTAACTTCCGTTTTTTTCTCGAATATTGAAAATAATTCTGATTATCAAAATTTTAATTTGTTACGGGAAGTTCCAGCAATTTTGCTAAAGACACAATGCCATACACTATTTAATTAGAGCGTCTCAGCAAAAGAATTCATTAAAATAAATCTTTTTAATTGCTCCTTGATTTGAATGAGTCAAAAAACATTTTACTTGTAATGACGAAATGAATAATTTATAACATTTTTAATAATTCAGGTCTAGCAGTTTCGGAGATACAGAGGAGGTGATCAAATGATCATTAGCCATATGCACATCAAATTATCAGATATTTGTTTTTATATATATCAGTTTTTAAAAATAAGTAATAATTTTTTTGTTACAATTTTGTTGGGTTCCGTACCAAGATTTTTAATTTTCAAAGTTTTTTTATACGGTTCAAAAAAATTTTTTAAAATTTTCGAAAAAAAACTCAAAATTTTCAATAATATACAAACTTTTATACTTCAAATATGAATTTTAAATTTACAATTCAAATTCAAAATGTATACTCGTATATTTCAAATGCGGTATTCTAAACGTAATAAATATATCCTCAGACGGACTCATTCACCTCCTGTTAATGTAAATTTTCTCGAGCGATAAGATCGACTCTGTATATTTTGTAAACGATTATAGTGATTATAATTATCTGTTTGAAACAATTATTGTGAATCATTGATCAATATTTATTGATTACTGATTTTTTCTCTCGAATATATAATTCTGGTACAGGAAGTTCCAGCAATCTGCCTTAAGGCACGATGCCATACACATAATTAGAGCGTAAGGCCGCTGTTAAAAACAAATTGATTCATTAAAATAAATCTTTAATTGCTCCTTAAATAATAGTTTTTGTTATTAAAATAATATTTCAGTTATTTAGTATAAACCATTTCACCGTCCCGGTAAGCTAAAAATTGCCGTCTTGGTTTCGTCTTCAAAACATATGGTCACCTTACTTTTAACTCTTTAAAATCTATGATTCAATCATGATCCAATTTGGACCACATTGATTTTCACATACAACCATTAAGATAGAAAATATAAAACTAGTAGTGAATGGCGTCGTGCCTTAAGGCAAATTGCTGGAACTTCCGGTACCATAATGAAATGTTCGAGGAATTATTATTTATTTAGAGTTTATAAGTGATCTTTAGAACTTTAGTCAAAATTAAAAATAAAATCTCAATTATTTTCGATATACAAGAAAAAATTTGTTGAAAAAAAATTGAAATATATTTTTTTCCAAAAGTAATTATTTTGTCAAAACAAGCAGAAAGTTTTTTGAATCATTCAAATCGTATGCTTAGTTCTCTCAAAAAACTGCCATTTTTTGCACATTTAGGATCTCCAAAACGGCTGGACCTGCCTTTGCTAAAAACTAATCACCACTTCTACCCTCATT